ATTCTCAATTTCAATAGATTCTTTCTTTTTCTTCCGTGCTTTCTGCTTCGCGCCGAAATTTTTCGCCTCTGCGACGCGACAACCGCAAAAATACACGGATGTGATAAGCGCAGTGACGAATCCAGAGGAAGGAAATCCTCTTCCTAAAGAATCGCTACCGAACCGAAGCAAAAGGAGGGCAAAGAGGTTGCAGCCAAGGACAAGGAGCTTGCCGAGCTAGCTTATCGGGTGCTATTGAACTCTATCTATAACGTATACAAGGGACAACTATATCGATGCTTATTATTACGTAAATGGCCAATAATGCGTAGGCACAATATGCATTATGATTCTATGCCTTTATATACGCTTCCGTCTCCACATCTGCGTGCCGCGATCGCGGATCTTTGAATGATCTTATCTTGGAACGACACTTCGATACCAGTTATATTACTAATTACCTTTATATGTCAATAAGAGTTAATCATTTCTTAATGATCATATCGAGATCGTCAGTATGCGCATTTTATAAACCTGATATATAACATATTCCGTTGTGCGCGCGCGTTTCCAAGTGTCACTTACGATACGTGGCTGTTATTTGCCGAAGGAACGATCGATATGATAACGTAAATATGTCGCAAGCCATGCTCGGGGATATTGGTTCTTTCGCGTTGTCATTTGTGTTTGAAAATTCGGAAAAATCGAATAATAAATGTTTTTCAAGGGGAAAAAAAAAAACGTGACGATAATTATTTCGCTCTGTTTCTAAGAGTTAAAGTTTGAATCTAATAAATACGATATATAACTCTCAGGACTCAGGATGTTTTTATTTCTTGTACATTATTTATTATTAAAAGACGTGCGCGAGAAATACAGCACCCTGTATGTTCAAATCTCGAGGATTACAATATGACACGAGGCGCGCTGGCCTTCGGTAAAATGAGTTCTTAAAATACTGCACACGATAATCAAATTAATATTTATGGATTTTGCGTGCATGTCGATCGATTCTAGCTTGCATACGTTTCATAAGACACATTACATGATTTAACCATGATCGGAGATTCGTGGGTTACAAAGGAAAATTGGAGCAAACATCTTTTAGCCCTCGAAAGCTCTTCGATTAATCTTGCTTATCGCTCGTTGTTCATCGAGAACGACGATCGAATCTAGAGCGAATAAACGTAGACCGGGCCAACGGAAAAGTAACGAAAGATATCTGTCGAAAGATAATGAAATTGTGATATCGTTACGGAGAAAGGAGTGTCGTTCGAATAAAATGTACGCGAGTTAGCAGTTTTTTTTCCCTCGAGATACATCTATATATATATATATATACATACATGTGGTAATCCAAGGGCGTTTTATATTAGATACAATCGCTTTATCGTCCTTTTGCGTAATCGAAACGGTTAGTCGTCCCAAAGTGACGCCAAAAATAACGTTTGGAGCGTGCGCGACACTGGCCATTAAGCCGATGAGATGCGGAGGCGCAGACCGGAAGTTTAATGCACGTATCGGTTGGCGATCGTATTAGTTAACGATCGTCGAATGAACGTCGTAAGAGACGAGACGCCGAGGTCGGTATCGACCGTGGGATATATAGAAAGTAACGGATATATGGGCGTATATAGTTGTCGTATGAGGAATCGTGTCGGAGCACGCATATCGTTTTCCCCTGCTACCAATCCCGTAGCCACTCAAGGTTAATTCAACCGTGAATTCAACCGGCCATCCGCGAGCACCCTACGATTTTCCTCATTCGACGGGTATCCTCGTCGGGTACCTTCCCCGCGCGACGACGTTCCACGTCTTCCTTTACGTACGCGATGGCTATTCGTGGACGACAGTGTCGTTATCTGGCCAAGGGGAAGGGTGACGGCAGGAGAAGATTATTCTGTTCGTGCACCTGCAGCTGCGCTACCTCGTCTAGTCCTGAAATCGAGGAGCAACCGGACGGATTTTGTAAGTTTGATGAACGCGATTTTTATTTAAAAAAAAAAAAAAAAGAAAAAAAAAAGAAAAAAAACGATACGATCTGTAAGGCACAATTAAAATGCACAAGTTGTTCTCTTCCTGTGCTCGTCATTACGCACGTCTCCTTCCGCCGCGTGCTCGTTACTCACACACAACGTAGCCTACTTGGCAGTAGCCGTTAAGTATTCTCAACCTGTAACAGCTAGTAGTCGTTCCGTGAGACCCGAAGCGAATCTTATCTTTCCGGGGATATATCATTGGGAAATTTTCTCCACTGTAAAATTGAAGTCTCTCAGTCCTGTATAGAAATGGCAAATAATCGTGCGGAAAATTATCAATTCGCTCGACGAAGAATCTGCCTGCGCGACACCTGCGATTCAATGTCCTCGCGTCACTTTATCATTCGCGACAGCGAAACCGAATACCGAGCGAAGCGTCGTATTGCTTCGTATTGCTTGCGTTGTACTCGTTTTAATGAGCCATCGATAATGGCCTCCCCTTCCCTCTCCATCCTTTCCCTCCCTCGTGACAGCGATGTTCCGTCTTGATTCCAGCGCTTTCGAGATATTGCACTCTCTCGCGTTACAAGATGTTTCTCCTTCCCCTCCCCTTCCCCCTCGCCCCCACGCCTCGATGTCTTTAATTCTCGATTAATTGTATATAATCGCTACAGAAAAATTATCCGCCGTACATTTCGCGTATCCGATAACCAGCGAGGCTGTGCAAACAAACGGTCTATCAGGTTCGCGGAACGCAGTCAAGCTGGCTGCCTCCGGCGGTACCCCCGCCGCTGCCGTCGCCGCATCCGCGCATCCCCCCGTGCTTTGGAGCTCCCGCAGGAAGCCGGGTAAGTCCTTTATTATTATTATTATTATTATTTTTTTTTTTTTCGAAAATTCGTCCATTGGCGAATTTCCAAGCCGACGTCGCTTCTTTCTTGACGCGTCAACGAACGCGCCGATTTATCCGACAATTGAACGAAGAGCGTTTGTCCGTGCGAGCGTAAATAAAACGAAGAATGAAATTGAATTGGAATTTCGACAAAAGGCAGTTGTTAAGCGACCTCCAGTGGTCGCAAAGTCATATTGAATTGTAATTGTCAGTAGCGAGAAATCGCATGATCGGTTTTTTTCTCTCTCGCGCCATGCGTCGAGATAAATTAGCTTTTTTTTTTTTGCCCGCACGCTACAACAATCTCGCATTCGATAGAGAATGGATGCAAATTTTCATCAATAGGGAGGATCGTAAGATTATTTTATATTACAAAATAAATCATTTAACGCGAATTACGATATTTTATTCTCCTTCTTGCTAGGTAAAACTTACGAATTACCCTATATATGGCGTGTACCGACACGCGTGTACGAACGTGAATCATGGAATTGGCCTGGAGGTCAATTTCAGTGCGACAAGCTAATTCGATACGAGTCGCATGCTCGTTTGACCCAGACTCATTGACCCGGCACGTCTAATCCTGAATCTTCACCGCAGCTTTCTTTCTTTCTCTCTCTCTCTCTCTCTCTCTCTCTCTTTTTCTCCCTAACGAATAACGCCCAACAGTAACGCTTTACACGAGATTCCTCGCTTTATTTACGCCTCTGACAAATCTTCGTCTGCTTTGTTGACGTTTTAATAATCTTTGTATTACCTTAGCTTTATTAGTCGGCTCGAGTTATATTTCTTATTTGCTCAAGTTCCACTTTTGATTAAAAGCTTCTTTTGACGTCCGGCGAGCAATCCGATTCATTCTGCTTCATTATTCTCATAGTTGGCAGTCGCTACGTCTTTACACAGTGCGGAAAGTCTAGGCGAACGGATACGTCAATTAGGATGCCGCTAATTTACGAAGGTTACGGCTTTCCGCTCTCACAAATGTAGGAGTCTGACGTGTCTCGGGCGGAACACGCAGGCAGATGAGGAAAAAGATGGAAAAGATGAAAGAATCTCGTATGAAGAGATTGTTTCTTCGGTCGTGACAGGCGCGGATAGAGCAAGGGATTATCATAGGAATTGAGCGACCGTGTTAATGTCGAGAAAAGCACGAGCGTGGATCGGTCAAGGTTACGATGATATCTGCGATATATCGCGTAAAGGATCAGATTCACCGTCATTTCCAAAACTTTCCCTCAAAGAAAATACATGTCAAAATTGCAATAAATAAATTACCATAATAAACGGAAGAAACGTGAAAAAGAGGAGAGGGAAACAACACGTACGTAGAGGAAAGCCAGCCGGAATGTGAGCGCGATAAAAATATTTGCGTCAATTATGACTGTTGAGATAATGATCATGCAAGAATGTTAGTCAGTCTCGATACATCTAGAATCCGTTCTGTTTGTCGAGTCGATTCTGCGGGTAAGTCATTGCTGAATCATCGGAGAAACGGATGATACATGCGGAAAAAAAGAATATAAACGACGCGATGATTTACGAATGCGAGAAGTATACATATTCCTCGGCGAGTCTCGACGCGCGATTAGAGGAGGAGAGAGTCGCGACCGTTGCTCTCGCGAAACGTATCATCCGCGAAGAGAAATCCGTCTGTTCGCGAGCTGCGCGCAGCCACAGTGTTGTTCGGCTTTAATGACGGGCGGAACTCTTCGCCGAGAGGCGCGGATAAAGGATGTTTCTTCGAATCGACTCGTCGACGATGATTGCAGCTAAACGTGTCGTAGCGACATTTGTAATCGCAAAACGCGAGTGTCTTTTCGTCCGCGAGTTTCTTCCTCTCGAAGAACTCTCGCTCTCTCGTCTCGGCTCTGATGCTGACGCGCTGAACTCATGCCGAGTCTTATCTCGATGTGTACCGTGCGATACCACGAACGTGTATGTATGTACGTACGTGCATCGGCACGGCACGCTCACGCGTGCTTATCGCACGCAAGTTTACCGAGTAACAGAGAGGAGAAGCGTGTGCCGCGTCTCTTCTAGCCTCGCTTTGTCTCTCGGTTTAAAGACGATTTTTTTTTTTCCTCCACCTTAAATCCGCGAGCAGCGAGTAATTTACGGTTTTTTTTTTTTTTTTTTTTTTTGCGGGCCTTTCTTAATCATTTACGCGAGCGTCGCGGGGAGAAAAAAGAACCTGATTTATTTCGACGCCTCTGGCGTAAGAAAGAGATTTATACAATTTTTCGCTTCCGACGTTGTAATCCAATATGGCTGCGATGAGCGATGAGAAGTCTTGAAAGGATAAAAATGAAATGCAGACATAACGTATCGCGTTGTCCGAAAACGTCGTAGCCTTAGATAAATCTATCCGCATCTATTCTCTGTCTTCCGAATAGAACGAAGAAGTGGGAGATGTGACTACTCGCTATATAACGAGGTCTTGGCTGGTATGGACGCTTCTTTAATTTTCCCTCTCTCTCTCTCTCTCTATCTCTGCCTCCCATTCTTCTTCTCCCTCCTTCTATCTGGTGACGCGTGCACGGGTAACACGCATTCGTACACGCGCGTACTTATCGCACGAATGTGACGATGCAAGCGTATTATGTACAATGGAGAGCGAGATAAAAAGTGGTATTTATCTCATGTCAGCTCGCTAGAGATCGACAAAACTTTTTTTCCACGAATACGGCTCATGCTCCATGTGGTGATTTTCGTTTGTCATTCGGTGTCACATGTTATACACTGATGCGGTTCGTGTTTCTCCGATAAGTTCGCAACATCTCGTCTTCTGATTACGCTCGATAATTTGATTTACCCTGAAAATACGGTGCAGTACGGTGTTAATCGGAATTAGAAACTTTGTCTCCTTCCCTCTCTCCCTTTCTTTCTCTCTCTCTCTCTTTCTTCCCCCTCTTAGGGTTCGGAACGTCACAACGCGCCGCACCACGACTCGGTTGAACTCGACTCGACTCCACTCCACTCGATCAGGCTCGTAACAGTCGCGACTAAACTTGCGTGCAGCTCGCCACGTGCGTTCTCGATGCATCGCGCGAGTGTCTCGTAACTCGCGAAGCAGCGAATTTTGCGCCGTGCACGGTTCATTTTTCCAAAGCTCGCTTAACGATGTGACTTTCCAAAAAAAAAAAAATAGAAGAGAAAAAAGCGATCAGTGCGTAGACGAAGCGATAAAGAAACGATGAAACGCGATTTCTCTCGTTCGACAACATTCGCCCGAATTCGAAAACATCGATGATTCATGTCGAGCGTGATACTCGCGAAAGAGAGAGGAAAGAGGGTATGGGCAGCTCCGGAATCTCATGATAAATCGAATTCATCGAAGAATAAACGCGCCTTTCGAGCAGCGTGAAATCTTACGCGCTTGTTTACTTTATAATAGTGTGTTTTCTATCTCCGTTCTCGAGTTCACGATTAGAAAATTGTCTTTAAAGCTGGACGGATTGTAACGGATTCAGTTGACTTTTCCGTCGTCGGTTTCCGTCTTGCGAACGTCGCGAACGGAACGAGTCGGGCAACTCGCGCGTATACATATATATCAGGCGCGATAAGATGTGACCAGGGCGGGTTGCAATCGGTTTCCCAGAGCGAAACGAGCATATTCGCCGAGCGTCGACGTAACTAGGCAGCTGCGATCACTTGGTCGATCATACTTTAAAGCTCTCTCTGTAGCCCCAGTCCGGCCACGTGTCGATGTTATCGGATAGAATTCGCACGTAGGGTGCGATTATGCGAACGAGTTCATTCATCGTGCGGATTCCAGCTCGCCGGAAGTGACGACGACTTCCTCGCTGCGTGCTATTGGTGGTGGTGGTGGTGCGCGCACACAGTGTATCCTCCAGTCGCGCGTGAGTGCATCGTGCACGCACGAACGCACGCAACAAGCGCGCGTACACACGCGCGTACATACGGACACGTGCGCGCGCGCGCTCGCTCTGACCTAGAGGAAGCAAAAGGAGAAGAAAGAGAGGATGTCGACTCGCCGCCGAGCGACCGCGACCGCGTCGTGCGGCGAGATGCAGCGTCCTGTTGTCGGTCGACGGTCAGTGGCTCTTTGAAGGTTTCGTCTTATCGACGATGGACAGGATCGGTCGAGCGGACGATTGTACGGGAGAGATCGTGCTTCGTGTCGTTGTTATTGTTGTTCCTCGACGCCGCGCTCGCCAGCACGATTATGCAGTTGAAGAAAGCGATGCTTAAGATATTCGATCAATGTAAGTTCATCCCGAAGCTGCACCCGCAAACGTTCCGCGCTAATAATAATAATTTTCTTTCCTCATCGCTAACGAATCTCTCTCTCTCTCTCTCTCTCCCCCTTCACCTATCCTATAACCGTCGCTAATCTCACCGCATGTGCAAAATTAGCTCGAAAGTCGGTACCGCTCGCCGTAAGCGTGAACGGTGGGTCCAATGTCTGGATGCACGCATGTTTCTCGTCCATCTGTATGCACAACGATGCGTTGAGACGTGCGTGCATTACGCGGCAACGTGATTCCGTCGTGCGTAGCATGGGCCCCCATTAAAGACCCCTAGATCGTAATAGCGTAATAGCGTAGGGCGCGCAGGTCGGATTAAATTGTAAGACATTGACGAAAATTTTTTAATCTCCGTGCATACGCCATACGAACTTGGCGTCGTGTGTAGCGTTATACATCCGGAGGAGAGATACCGTGTTTTAAATGCAGGACTCGTTAACCTTCGCGTTGCATCGTCGATGTAGACACGCTCTCGAGGCAATATATCTGTAAAACGAACTTTGTAGTTACAGAGAAATATATGTATATATTTATATAGAAAGTATTTCTCTCTCTCTCTCTCTCTTTTTATATTTATTTATTTATTTATTTATGCACATCGATACATAATGTATACGTGCGTAATGTTGAGCTGTTTTCGTTTCTTGTTATCACCCTCGAGAATCTGGCGCTATCTTTTCGATGTAAACTAAGCTCTACATAATATATGCTAGTTCGTGTAAAAAACTGATACATCTTAAAGAATCGTGTCTAAAATAAAAAGTTGGCGACCGAAGGAAAGTGAGACGAGCGACGACATCTCTTGCTTTCTCTCTCTCTCTCTCTCTTTCTTTCTGTAATTAAATGATCGGCACGTTCCCGCAAAGGACAAGCCATTGCATCATGTGCACGAATACGCGCCGTTGCCGATTTTTGATCGGGCACGATGCTAATGTCACGATAAGATTTACAGTTAATGATAAGCGCCTTATCTTTGGCACAAGAGAAGCGCATAACCTTTGAATTTAAAGTGGAATTTCCATCGCGACGAGAGATACGCGCACTTTTGCGCTCCGATCCGATCCGATATCGCGATTTATCGACGAGACTGTTTATTTACGCATTTGACAATTGCGTCAACAACTCCCGTTATCCGAAAGAATGACAACAATGGTCAATCCGTGTCATCGGTTGACCAAATCTTATCGTTCTATGTTTTCATACACGAAAAAGAAACAAACAATAGATGATTTTACAATTTTTATCGTCGAAATTGAGCTATTGTTTAGAAATTTTGTCCGATTTCTAAAACAAACTTGGCCTGATCTCGATACGAGAAAAGATTCACACGCGCGACGAGATAATAATTTTCGTATAAATGCGCGGAAGGGAAATGTGGTCGAGATGATCTTGTTCGGTTTTTGTCTTCCAAATACACGCAACCGATCGTGAGAGCGTGTGGTCGCGACGCTTACCGATTGCAGGAGCAATCGTACAAGACGAATAACGATGATGCTTATTTGCATTGGCCAAGGTAACTCCCGCTATTTCGTTGCGTAACTTGGCGGATTACAAGAAGCGTCGTTGGTTCCTCGATGACGTGCGATTTTCGTGTGCAATTTCCTCCAAGTGTCACGAGAGCGTTTGCTCTTTGCCTTAGATATTTTCTTCGCTCCACGTGTGCGATTTAAATGAATTTTTTATCGGAAATAATCGCGAAACAATTCAACTTGGATTATCTCGTAATCTCTTCTTTCACGACTTACAAGATGACTTTACGTAACGGGGTAACTTTTTCACGTGTACGAGTGAAATATCTATGAAATATGCGATGGAAGAGAACCGGGGGAAAAGGCGAGAAAAGTGTAACGCTCTAAACTGAGATATATAGATATATCTCGTGCTTGTCGATCGTTTCGTGTGGGCTACGAATCTCTTTTGCAACGAGACGACGTGACGATACGCACGCGCGCGCACGCTCACACGTGTTGGTCGAGTTTAATATAGCTGCGTGTGTCGCCGTCGTCTTGCGTAGCTCAAACGTTTACCTCGCCGCATGCCGAAAGTGGAGCTCGATGACGGAGTTTCCTCTTCTCCTTGGAATTAAAGCTGGCTGCGAAGAATGCCGCATACTTCCTCTAGAGTCAATTTCAATTTCCTCAGCCGCTATGCCGCTCGAATCTTGCATTGTAAAAAATTTTTCATACATTTAGACACATTTTTGTCTGAATTTTCTGGATGTCTGAAACAGGGTGTCTACTCCCTGGAAAAAACACGGAAAACCTGGAAATCTCAGGGAATTTTTTTTCTACCTGGAGAAATCAGGGAATTCTCATGGAATTTTATTGGGGACTCAGGGAATTAAAAAAAAAATTTTCTCTTTGATAATTTTGCTCTTATACTATAAGCAGTAAGCAATCCGCCAAAATATATTATAAATATATGTATAACTCTGTTTATATATATTCAATATCTTAACAAAATATTGAATATACAGTACATTTTCTTTATTTTAATTTTTAGTAACGAAAAATGAAAATGTTATACAAGTTAAAAGTTTTTATCTTAACAAAAGCTATTCAGTTTTTTTCATTACATTTGTAAATCTGGCACTTGAAACTTAAGTGGCTTTGTTTTCCTTCGTATAAGAGAAAAACGTTAGAAAACGCTTACAATAAAAAAATTTATTTTAGGAAATTGCACCAAAAAATCTTTAAAATATTTTCTTTACCTGGTATTTTGAACAAAAAACCGGGGAAATCAGGGAATATTTTTATAAGATTTGAGTAGATACCCTGTGAAAGAAATTTCAGACAATCTGTCTTAATCGTCAGAGTCGTTTCTCTGAAAGTTTAGAGGAGTTTGTCTGAAAATTGAAATGGATCCGAAAATTCAGACGATGCAAAAAAGCGGCAGACACTTTGTTTGAAGTTTCAGTCAATTTTTTTTACAGTGTGGATACAAGAAACGTTGGTCCAGCCAAGTCGCATTACTCTTGACAGACATTTATGTATATATTTTAAATACTTTAGATATTTATGTTATTTGATAATTATTTGATTACTTATTATTCAGCATTCTATATTTTTCAGATTAGGATGATTTTTCAAATCTCTTTCTTAAATATATCGGAAATTCGACAACGAGATTCTTTTGGAAAGAATCGAGCAAATATATCGAAATTCTGAAAATAGGTTTTGCTAACTTTGCAGAAATGACGGTAATCTCGATAAGATTGAACTTTAAAAGAAATCTCAAATGTGTATCGCGATCTAAGCGGATCGTCTAGAATACTAATCGCAGATTTAAATGAGAGTTCCATCACAATATATAATGGCTTTAAAAGATGATTGATCCCTGTTTAAAATAGCGAACCGGAAATATTCTGGATATTTGCACGATACGTTTTCAGAGTAGAAATTGAAGAGCGTGGGTAGATGACACGATTAGAGTCTACCGCCTACGTAGCGATAGCTACGCGATTACTAATTTCGCGGCTATTAATGACATATCGAAGATTTGAGTGGAACAAACAACTACAAGATAAGATCGCGAATCGATTTAATTCGTTTTCATACGCGGATTTGAAAGAAAACGGTAGCATTGAACTTGACGGCAGTGACGACCAAGTACGCAGACTTGGCGGGTGGAGGGAGAAGAGAGTCTGTGATGCTGTCAGAAAACGAAGAACCGGCGACCGGTCCGAGAGCAGGTTTCAACGGCCTTTTCTTGGTGTACGTATACATTTGAACGCGAACGCGGGGGAATCGACGCCTGGCCAAAAGACGATAAATCCTTTTTTCGCCTCTTCGTCCTTCCACCTTTCGAGTCCTTCGACCTTGCCGCGATCTCAGTTACAAGGAAAGCGCGGTTTCAATCGCTTCCGCTTTCTGGGAAACTGGTCCGTCCGCTATATTTGCGTCATCAGTTCTAAGAATCCATATTAAATTTGGTTCCGCCAGATTTCTATTTCGCTCTCTAAACAAAGCATCGAATTACGTTGATCGATTAACACGAAAACAGCGAGAGATCTCCCGACAATTTTCAAGTCCTTCCATCTTGCCGTATGCAAATCTCGAATACAAGATTTATGATTCTTAGAAAATGATTTAGCGGTTTATAACTTCACTCAACTTTCCGCTTTTCTGAAAAATAGTATGTACATGGAAATGATTAGCTACCGCAAAGTCGTTTCTTATCGCACAGGTTTACATTTACAATTTCCAACCTGGCAAGTGCCAAATCGAAATAATCTATAGCCGATTTAATTTAATTTCCGAACTAATCGATCATATGCTTTTTATTATTCGCATGCTTCATCTCTTCAAGGTCTCGTATCATAAAATCTCCTTATTAGATTAGTCGCGACACGCTTTGCGTTCGTATAATATGTAATTCCGGGAAAATTTCTTTAATGATACCTATAATGAGGAACGACGATCGGATGGTTGATCGGCCTGCGATCGGTCGAAGTAAAGTAAGACTGCGGCCAGATCGGTGGCGAGCAGATAGGTCAGCTTGGCGCCATCGGGCCTCGGGCCGAGGCGAAGGCGCGTGAAGGCCGGTCGGTCGGTTTCTCAGCTTTCCGACGCGCCGTTTGCTACAAGCGTGCGAAACGCCAGCGTGTTCGCCTTTTGTATAACTGTGCCTTTCGTACATATAGTACTCGTACATATAGCAGTCTGTCGCGCGAGCAAGAGGAGCGTTTACGTATCTGAAAGACGAAATAATCATTTCGAGAGATGCGAAGATTCGAAAATACTTGATAAATTATGCGTTTATTTACTGCTAACCATCCAATTTCCAATATTGTGCATAAATTAGCATCTAATTTTTTTAGGAATTTCAAGTATACTAGTCAGCGAAAATGTTTACGAATGTCTCTAGGCGACGACTGACGCATTATCGGAATAACTTTGCCGCATAGATAACTTCATCGAACTTTAAAACGCGTATGATTATCAGCTGACTTGTAAGCTTTAATTTCAATTGTTCGGCTTATATCATCTTCCAGTAGTATATCTAATAGTTATCGTGTTCCCTGTTGTGTGTGTCATCGACGAATAGCGAAAGCAATGACGTTCACGGGGATTCGTTAAACGTAAAGTGTATTCATTATAATCGCGATCGTCCAACACAAAAAGGCGTCGCAACAAAAAGAACATTCATTGTAGGCGCGTATGGAGATACGGAAGCTGAGCAAAACTTCGTGATATCTTTTGTTTTGTTTTCGTTCGATTATTTTATACTTTGCTTGTTTGATTTTTTCATGGACATTCATATAATGGATGTCCTTCAACGAATTTTCTTCGAATCGCGGATTCTTTGAACAAATTTATGAATCGATTTTTTTTTTTAAATAAAAATATCGAGGCACGTTAGTCTCGAATTATATGCGATTGCGACAGAAAGGATTTTGGAAAATTAAGTTTTAGAGGAATAAAAAGATAATTATATTTTTTCAGTTAGATTCTCGAGTAAACTTTACTTTGACAGAATTTCTATAGAGATTTAATTACAAAAACGTATGATATTGAGAGTTTGTAATAAATGATCTTCCTTTTTGATATCTTTCGTTATAGAAAAAGTTACTCGAATTTGGGGTAAGAATTCGCAGATTAAATGACGTGTACGCTCTGGGAGGGATACCTCGTATAACGATTTTTAAAATGCACGTCGCGTTCGCACTCGCTCGTCCACACAATCCGTAACTTACTTAAGCAGACTATCGATATTCAGCACGCGTTTAAGAATCGAATAGTTCGAAATTGCTAGTAACACCGGAGAAAAAGAAAAAGAGAAAGAGAGAAAGAGAAAAAAGGAGAGGGAAAGGAAGCACGGAAACATAGAGGAAAATCAGCCCACCCACGTGTATCGTGCTGTTTTTATGTAAGATATTGTCAATCGAGAATAATTTATATCTAATTTATCGGAGGTTAAATTTTTCTAACACGAGACAATCTATAACATAATGTTTGGATAGAAAAATGTATAGTTCAAACTGATTTAACCCATACAGAATCTTTCAGTCACATTGCAGCAACATTAGAATTCTGCAAATTATAGCTACGTCGCAGACACATTGTAGAGGAATTGCAAGATTCTGATAAAAACGCAGCGACATTGCGTAACGTATTTGCCTTGCTGCAATCCTGCAATAAAAAATTCCTGCGATTTTCCCGCTCGTGTGATACCAATTAGGCAATATAAATATATCGATCTTAATATCACGTAATAAATTAATGAATGGAAATAAATAAATAAATTAATGTATGTCTTGTAGCACGGAACAAATGGATAAAATATAGTCCTACTTCAAACAAATTCGAAAATGTAGAACAAGATTTCGATTTGTTATATCATGTGTGGAGAATCATTATCTTTTTCAGCGGGGTAATTCGTCAGTTATACACAGAGCGTCCTGCATTACGCTGCGTCGCCGAGAAAGCTAATATTTCACGCGATTACACTCCGCTATAGCCGATTATCGTGGCGACATCCGTACACGTATACGACATCAGCCGGTAGTTGATAATCGACAGTTCGAATGAGCAGGACCAATGCGACGTGCGGCAGCAACTCACCCGTGAAGAGAACGCGCGCTCTCGTCTCGTAGGAAATTTACCCGGTATAATCCGTGTCGTGTTTTTCCACGGATTTCGTTTACATTTGGTCGCCAGACCACTCTTCGCTCCTCCAACGATCTCTCCATAACTCCCGCATGGATTTTGAAAAGATATCGATTTAGATAAACGAAAAATGGATATCTTTTTTACAAGATATTTCATATTTTATATCGAAATGTATGATATGTGGCACAATATAAAATATTAAAGTATTCACTTTATTCTCGCATCATTTTAATACAATACTTCTTGTCACGCGCGAAAGGAACTCATTTATATAAAAGAATCATACTTATTAAAAGGAAACGCCGATCGTAAAGTTTCGAAAAAAAATTGTGACCTTGGAAAAAAATTTCTTTCCACGATAAGTATCCGTTCTTTCGAAATAATTTCTCCCCCAAAACACATTTTCGTATTATCAAAAAATCATCAGATATATTTGGAGCACAATCACGATAAGATGGATCGCGTATATATATCAAAATACGAATCGACGATCGATGGGAATATCCCAGCTGATAGAGGGAAAATTTGGCTTCGATCGAACCAGAGATATAGGTCGGTAAAATCGATGTGTGACTCTTCGATATATGCCTACGAATAAAATATGCATCTTACACTTTGGACACGACGAGCGCGCGCCTTACCTTTGCGTCAAGTCGGACGGGCAGCAGAGAAGTGCGAGGGACAGGGGGGGGGGGGGGGACGATGACGTTACCATGTGGTTTTCCTTTGATGTGCAATATCCGCTCTCACAGCCGTACGCGGTGTGTCGTGTCGTGCGTGCGTGCGATGAGCGTAAGCATGACGGAATCGCTACGTCGAGAGATGTGAGCGAATAAACTGTTGCCTCGAAATACGTTGAAAAGGAAAACGCGTTTCTCCTCGCGATTCCCTTGCATCTATCCATATGAGAAATACGTTACAATTGTAAGACTTCTCCGGACGAAATTAACAATTCTATTAAAACTTTGTTATAATTGATACGAACTCATCTCAGAGTTCTCGACAGTTTTCGAATTCTCGTTACGTTTCGGCAAGAGTGAGCGAGCGAGAAATTAAATTGCTAACTTGTAACGGATAATCGCGATGATTGACGCGAAACGAAACGTTCTTGATGAAATGACGAATGATTCTGTAATTAATACAACGGCATAAATGCAGGCCTGCACTTGCGGAGCATCGAGGAGCCGAGGATGACGGCGGAAACGGCGGCTCCCTGCGTACAGGGGGTGCAAGGAGCACAGAGCGGCATGGTCAACCAGAGTATGTTGCAACAGGTGCAAGATGGAAGTGGCGGCAGCGGTGGCAGCGGTGCTTATTACTCCTCGACGTCGACGGTGTACGATCCGGAGTACGCTCGTATGGAGGCTTGGCTCGACGAGCATCCCGACTTCGTTAACGATTACTTTTTACGGTATTATTCTCCCTCTGAATTGACGATTTAGACGAAAGAGATTAGTCCCAGGTAGAAAACGCACGTTATTTGGACGTTAAGTATCATGTGCGTTTGTTACCTGGGGCGTTACTGACCCTTCGATATCATAGACTTCGTTAACGATTACTTTTTACGGTATTATTCTCCCTCTGAATTGACGATTTAGACGAAAGAGATTCGTCCCAGGTAGAAAACGCACGTTATTTGGACGTTAAATAACGTATCATGTGCGTTTGTTACCTGGGGCGTTACTGATCCTTCGATATCATCAAATCTTTTACTCGTTATCACGTTTGTTAAATGACAATTGAATCGCTTTGCTGTATGCATTTATTATTTAATAATCTTCTTTTTTTAAAGCTGTACAGTTTTTTTCTTCTTTTTATGTGATACTTTAATTCTTAGACAAGTATTCCCAAAAATTGCTATTATTAGATTTTTACTAGTGTTTTTGACTTCTGGATCATTAGGAAGGCGACACGACAGACTGTAGACATGTGGCTGGTGTCACACGCGACGCCGACTTCGTCGTCCAGCAGCTGCATGGAGCTCTCCAGCCCGACTCACGGCGGCAACTCGTCCTCCGGACGTGGTGGTGGTGCCGGGGGTTCGGGAGCCACGACACCCGTGCGCAAGATCTCGGCGCACGAATTTGAACGAGGGGGCCTTCTCAAACCGATCGTCAACACGATCGACGGAACGCCGACCTTTTTGAGCGTATCGCCAGGTGAGATGGGTCAATCGGGTAATGCCCAGGTCGGATCCGGTAACTCGAATCGACCTCAGAGACGATCCAGGCACGAGCTCAGGCATCTCGACGAGAAGGATCTCATTTTCGAGTTGGTAGGTAGCTGCGCGGAAGTACATCGTCGAGCTTCTATCCTTAAGACGTTTAATTTCGTCAGGTCAAGGACATTTGCAACGAGCTGGATGTGAGATCGTTGTGCCATAAAATCCTGCAGAATGTGAGCACGCTTCTCCACGCGGATCGCGGCTCACTGTTTCTCGTCCAGGGCGAGAGAAGCGGTACCACCGTCAGTGTGTCGTCTTCTCATGTCGAAAATCACGAGAACGCCGTGAACGACATTGAAAACGGGGTTCCGCAACGTAACGATCAATCCTCCTATCCGAGGAGCCGATGTCTAGTGTCGAAGCTCTTCGATGTTTGTTCGAGATCGACGTTGCTGGAGATGGAAAAGAAAGATGAAATTAAAATTCCCTGGGGCACCGGAATCGTTGGCTACGTTGCTGAGAGCGGGGAACCCGTCAATATACCAGATGCTTATAAGGCAAGGACTTGGAATTACTGTTTATCTATCTTTTCTATCTAATGAGAGCGCGTGATGCGTTTTGCACCTGGTCGATTATTATATATAATCATTGGAAATTCTTGATGAATCATGATAATTTGCGTATCCGGAATGCGATCGTTTCTGATATAAATAAATATGCACGAATATATACTTTATCTGATGCACTTCTTATCTCTATTTTGATTATCATTAATTGACGACAATAATTTGATTTAATTTTTTACTCCTGAAGAAAAAAATCGAACAGAAATATTTTGATAACAGGAATATTTTGATGAAATATGCATATATGTAATGTAACATACATGTAATTAATATAATGTGTATAAAATAATTTCAATATGTTTCAGGACTCCAGGTTTAATCGTGAAATTGACGCATTAACGGGATACCGTACGCGTGCCTTACTGTGCATGCCTATTAAAGATTGCAATAGTGACGTCATCGGCGTAGCACAGGTAATCAACAAGCTCGGCGGCGAAGGACAATTCACAACGCAGGACGAAAAGGTTTTCGCCGGTTACTTACAGTTCTGTGGTATCGGCTTAAGAAACGCGCAGCTTTACGAGAAAAGTCAATTGGAAGTGAAAAGAAATCAGGTAAATGCCGATTTTATTGATCAGAATTACGAGACGGAAGATATATAATTGTATTTTGTCTAATACATATTAACATTAGGTTCTATTGGATCTGGCTCGAATGATTTTCGAGGAACAAAGCACGATAGAGCACATGGTTTTGAGAATTCTTACGCATACGCAATCGTTGATTCAATGCCAACGTGTTCAGGTAATTAACATAAACGTTTACTGCGAGAATGAAATGCGTTTATATGAGCAAAAGAGAACGTGTTAGAACGTCATGATTGTTTTCAGGTGTTGCTCGTGCACAAAGCTTCAAAAGGCAGTTTCTCGCGTGTCTTCGACTTTGAGGCAAACGATCTCGCTGGCGAGGATTCTGATTCTCGTACTAGGTAAATAAAGGCATTTATAATTACCATTTCGGTTATTTTTTCGATAAATTCTACAAATCTTTTTTTTTGCAGTCCGTTTGAAAGTAGATTTCCTATTAATGTTGGCATCACGGGTTACGTAGCGACAACCGGTGAAGTGAGTATCATTCAGTTTTTCTATCTCGACACGATTGCGAAAATATTAGTGTTCAAGATGATAAAAAAAGCGGTTTATAGACTGTCAACATACCAAGCGCTTATGAGGATCCGAGATTCGATCCGTTAGTGGATGATGGTACCGGTTTTAGGCATCGTACAATTCTTTGCATGGCCATCAAGAACTCCTCCGGTCAGATAATCGGTGTCATTCAGTTGATCAATAAATTCGACGATTTGCTTTTTACAAAGAATGATGAGAATTTCGTCGAGGCGTTCGCGATATTCTGCGGGATGGGGATTCATAATACGCACATGTAAGTGTATGCGTACATCTCTTGAATTTACTCTTTGAATGTCCAACCTGATGTGTTGTGTTTGCTTATTACTCAGGTATGAGAAGGCTGTGATAGCAATGGCGAAACAGAGCGTCACTTTGGAAGTATTGAGTTACCATGCATCGGCGTCGTTGGAAGACGCGCAGCGATTGAGGGTAGGTATGCTTCTAGCTATTTGTTTGCCGATATCTTGTAATTTTTTAAACGTTTATTATCCATTCTTTGCCAACAGAATTTAAGAGTTCCGTCATCGGTGCATTTTCAATTGCACGATTTCAAGTTTGACGATATACACATGGAGGATGACGAGACTCTCACCGCGTGTCTCAGAATGTTCCTCGATTTGGACTTTGTCGAACGGTTTCACATCGATTACGATGTACTTTGTCGTTGGTTGCAGAGTGTGAAGAAAAACTATCGAAACGTTACGTATCACAATTGGCGACACGCCTTTAATGTGGCTCAAATGATGTTTGCTATTCTGACAGTAAGTCCTTTTTTTAAATGAGTGCAATATCGAGATTCTTATTTACGAAATGAGAATATAATTTTTCCGTCCTCTTAGGCTACGCAATGGTGGAAGATCTTTGGTGAAATCGAATGTCTTGCGCTTATCATTGCCTGCTTGTGTCACGATCTTGATCATCGTGGAACAAACAATTCTTTTCAAATAAAGTGAGCACTATTATTTACTTTTGAATCAATTTACATGCTTTTCATCTCGTTACGAGAAATTTCTTACTTATACTGGAATACTATTTCATCATTTCCAGAGCCTCTTCGCCATTGGCACAGCTATACTCGACCTCAACGATGGAACATCATCACTTTGATCAATGCCTGATGATCTTGAGCAGTCAGGGCAATCAAATTCTATCGAATGTTTCACCGGAAGAATATTCGCGCGTAGTAAAGGTTCTCGAAGAAGCGATACTCTCAACCGATTTGGCCGTTTACTTTAGAAAGCGTGGCGCTTTCCTTAGTATAGCACGCAGTGGTAGTTACAACTGGGCCTACAGTGATCACCGAGATCTTTTGCGCGGAATGCTGATGACAGTCTGCGATCTGGCCGCGATTACGAAACCGTGGGAGGTCGAGAAAAGAGTAGCCGAACTCGTTAGTAGCGAGTTTTTCGAACAGGGCGACATAGAGAGACGGACGCTCAACATTACGCCTATAGTGAGTAGTATCAATATGTACACATAATATATTTATATAAGTTTTGAAAACGCTCTTTCATGCGAACGCATTTGTATTTTATAGGATATTATGAATCGAGAGAAAGAGGATCAATTGCCAATGATGCAAGTCGGCTTTATCGATTCAATCTGCCTCCCTATTTACGAGGTGCGCATAATCTGACAAATTGATATCATTTAATAAAACATTTTGTCTTTCCGTATATTTTATTACTCTTTGCGTTTACTTTAATAGGCATTTGCCCAACTATCGGATAAACTTGTGCCGCTCGTTGATGGGGTCAGGATGAATAAGCAACATTGGCTGGAAATCGCTGAGAGCAAGTGTCAAGCGGAGAATTGCACAAATCACGATAGGATGCCGTCAACGTCGGTGTCTGATAACGAGGAGACCAGCGAACAAGCGGACCAATAGTCATTATATTGACGTCATTGATTGCTAGAACGCACAAAACGGAGCCGTAGTGATCGTCCTACAGTTACGTCAAAAAGAGAAAAAAATACGGGATATAGTTTATCTTTTACAGATCGTCTCCAGTGGCAACTGGTTTCCTTGTCTCAATTATCAGGGCTTGTGTCCTGCGCGAAACAGGTGATATACATACATATATACATATATAATGTTTATATGTATAACAGACTCTACACTACTTCATTTCCGTCAATTAGATTTTTACGGATTCCACAGATCTGCTGATCAAATAGACCAAACATTCAACTTTTTCGCGTTGAACTCGTGTATCTTAATCAAAATTGTTCTGTATATTTAACATATAAGTCGAAAAAGTTATAAATACGTCGATTGAACAATCTTGCGAAATACGATGAGAAAGATCTTTGTTCTCTCTCTCTCTCTCTGTCTTACCTTGTCTCTTAATTCTCCTCCCTCCTTTCGTTTTCGCCATCGTTCCCCCTCCTTCGTCCATCTATTTCTCTCTGTTTGTCTTCCTAGAAACTAAACTGATCAATCTCCATATACGCTACTATTGTACCTGATTGTATTGTACATATATTTACTACGACAGACTTTCGATGTAGACAGAGAATGAAGACAGGGAGAGGGAGTTGATGCTCTAAAATATATGTTGTACAATAGTTTTCGACACAAATCGACTCGTCTGAAGGACACAACTGAATGGAACGGCGCCTATACGCGCTAATTAGATTATATATTTGTATACCAAAGTGTAAATTTATATATATATCGAGATCGATTGCGACTACGGTCAGATGGTAAAATAGCAATTTAAACGGTCTGTGACACATGCTAATTAATTAATTAGAAGTTAATTGCGGCAGACATGGTACCTGCCAGGCTTCTCAGTTGCTTTGTCTTTGCTTTCTATTTCAAAAATAGATTCCTCCAATCGATCCTGACCCGAACAGCTGTTTTTCGTCTTTGCGTGGAGCTATCATATCTTATTAGAATAAATTATACAAACATTCAGCAACAAATGACAGTACCTATATATCTTTTATTATAATTGTAAAGTTTAGCATTTTTTTCATGTGTGTTTTACTTTCTATATCAATAATATTTAATGATAAATAATGTACGTTAAACACTTATCATAGATACGACTCGTGTCTACGATTTGATAACAAGAGAAACATGCATATCATTATGTGTTTGCTGAAACAGGATAGCCTTCGTATCTGTTATCATATCATAAATGGAAAGCAGGACGCCTGTGGATTATAAGAAGGGACTAATCTCGTATTCTTGTCGTTCAACAAATTTACCTGGCACATATACTATGGCTACGAAAAGACGAGAAACAGTTTAGGCATTTAGTAATCGCATGTGTGATCGTTTACTTATTATATAATCATAGCGCGTGACTTCCTCTATATGTTCCTTTAATCCTGCAATTTTTAAAGTGATCTTTTTGTTTATTTTTTACTTTAATATATCCGACTCCAAGCGGTACTTGGTTCTGCGTCGCCCCCACAAATAACGACGAAACGTGGGATAAAGTGATGAAAATGTAACAAGTGTGATAAAATTTCCTCGTGTGCGCGTAACTGTATAGCGCGGGTGTATGCTCTCGAAAGGAGAATGCAAGAGCTATTGTACAGTTATTTTTGTGTAAATTATATCGTGAAATGGCGCACCTCTATCGTTACGATAATAACGATGATAGCGCGCAAGTCATATATTATATATATACATATATATATATATATATATATATATTCTACACGAACAATATCTAATATATTAAAATGAAAATAAATTATGGCGAATATGTATGTAAAATACCCCTTATCGCGTTTCCTAAAGTCCCGCTGCGTCTACTCGATAATTAATAGATTACGTTTAATGATGTGCGGGCTGATCGTCGACACAGTTTCGCAACATTGTACCAATAGACCTTGATCGTCGCGATTAATGCGTGCCAGATGTACGCGAGAGATCGGGTCAAAGCATATGATATGCATATGGCTCGCTTAAAAATTAACGTTCGGTCTTTTTCACAATTTTATTTCGATTTCTTGTTACAATTCTCGCATCGCAATAAGATGCGAATCAATTTCTTTTTCTCATTCGCGGAAGACTATTATTGCGAAACGCAAATACGACGAAGACGTGATTCGTGGGGAATAAGCTTTAACGATAGGAGAATATTATTACTAGTATCGTTGCGCGATTTCGTGACTTCGTATGATGGACAGAACGATATTATTGCCGACGCCGACGAGTTTATCGTGGACTTGCGCGTGTGTGAGTTGATTTATTGGCTCCCCGTTCAGTTTAACAATCACATCGCCCGCTTGCAGGCCAGCTGTATGAGCTACACCCCCGATGGCCACCTTGTCGAAGAAGTATTAACAATAATTTAACGATAATGCGCGAGAATCACGCAGAGATATTGAGACAGGATATCTTACCCTGACGATAGTTAAGGGAAATGTAAAATCCACACCTCCGGAGAGTCGAAAGCCCCACGGTTGAACGTTAGTTCGTGATATTTTGACGTCTGTAGTAGTCGCCATGGTGAAGTATAAAAACTCGTCTTACCTAAAAGTAGATTAGCACATTTTTAATTGTTCACAAATGCTTTTAATAGATGACGTAATCACAAAGACGAATATGCGTTGTGTTACGCGCCTTTTCAAATAGCAGGCACAGAGTTTCTTTTTTATTCATTCACCACGGTACGATCCACGTACTATTCGAATTGAAATAAAATCGAGTCCAGATCCGGGTATACCCCAGGTTCAAGTACGAGCGATGATTGAAATCCGCTGATCGACTTTCCTCGGCCTCTTCATTATAGCGCGTCGCGCATTCGAATTTCGTTCGGTCGCAATGCTACGCATGCGCCGGACGTACATACTATAGGGTATGTTCAAAAATCCTACCCGTAAAAGTGACGTTTGATTGACCAATCAGGGGCAAAGATTTCTTTGTCTTCTTGATTGGTTAATTCAATAATATTTTATCCTACGAGTAGGATTTTTAAACCTAATGCGATATGCGCATGCGCGAGAATCGCACTTCGATTTCGCGCGACGACGCGCGCCGGACGAGCCGCCCGAGGAAGTTGTAAAACAATCATCGAGATAGATTATCGAGTCATGAAGGTATCAGCGTCTCAGAAGTCGCGACGAAAAAGAGGCGCGATTAACGCTCCAAATGTTCCCCGAGGCGCTTTATCCGAGGAACTTTAATCCGGCTTTTCGCGCCGCGTTATCGGAGCGAGGATGACATTTGATGCCGCGCACGCCCCAACGGCGACCCCGGCCCCTGGCCCCGGCAGGAGACAGCTGAGTCCTCGCCGAGTCACGAATGAGCCTCCGGTGAGGGAGCTTCGTTCCTTTCGTGAAATCTCGTGTACCTTCGCCGGCGCTTATCATTACACGCCAATAAATCGCGCGTCGTTCTCTTCGGTTGGCTGATAATCGTCTTCTCGCGGACACGTTGGAGATCCCCCGCGTTTACGCATTCACGCGGGAAACGAACAGTGTTAAATGTCGAGGGTAAGTGCGCGATTCACTGTTCGCTGGACCATAGCCGTGATAATATTTTGAGATGACGATGAGTTTTCGATCTCGCGCTCTTTCTTCTCGACTCTATCATTTTATCACTCATTATATCATATATATTCATAAGATACATTACAATCTATCTACGTTATGTAATACGTAAGAATGTAAATATATTTAATTTTTTTGAAGATATATTATGGATTACATCGTGAGGGGCATCAACTATCTCAATGCAGGACGTTTTCGCGCGCGACGCACTTTTCGTCATTTTTGCCTGTACATTTGATTTTAATCTAATACAGTGGACTATTCAATAACGCGATAATAATTATGTTCATTCCGTTCGCATACGAATGACAGTTTTGACTAGCGTACGCTGAAGAGAGCAAATCGACATTTTATATTTTATAATAATATGTCAAAATATTCAGAATTTGCCAATCTTCGAAAAAAAAAAAAATGGTCGCTCGTAATCATACCGTAATAGTTGACTGTGATAAAAATCGCAAATACATAAATAAGTGTATGTACATTAAATTATCGTAATATTTCAGTGATTGGTAGAGTGTCATGGTTCTGGTGCATGGAGATATCCACCGCACACAAGTAGCCCCGACTTGCGTACGGATACGCTTCCGTGCAACTTGCGCGCGTAAGTTTTTAATCATTTGACATAATTATTTTACGCAATTAAGATTCTATTCACGTATGAGACACCGAGTGTTAGTCCCACGTAAAGTAAATTTTTATATAAAATTCTAAAGAAAGAAAAACACAGTCGTGTAAGCGTAAGTTATGACGTTAGACCCTCGTCAGCCTATCGATACGCGCGGTTTAGTTTGCGTATCGTATAAAATAAAGTTGAAGGGTGAGGGAGAGTGGGAGAGAGAGAGAGACAGAGAGAAAGAGAGAGATGCGACGCGAAAGGAGAGATAGCGAGGACACCTCGAGGAGGGGAGAGGACGCGAGAGTTCTGGGGGTGGCTGTATCGTGCCGGTGGCTGCATCGATCGTCTCTACTACTTGCTATAGCGGCCATTTTCTACGGACGCGAACAATGCGACCTCGCCGCGCCAGAAAAATACCGTAAATCGCGATAGCGACTCGTCGTTGCCGTCACGAAGGCCGCACCGTCTAGACGGTTGCGAATCGGCCTGACACGTGGACCCTTTTCGGCCGAATCGACTCGTCGCGCTATCGATCCCGAAACGGGGATTGAAAGGGGCGACTCACACGAGCGTGACAGTTTGCGCCTGTTTTCTCTTCAATCGCTTTTATCGATTCGATTACGTTGCGCTATTTTGTCGGTTATGTATTTTTCAAAACTCATCTCGTTTATTTCGCAATGATAAATACAACTGTTCTCTCCCCCTCTTAACTTTTATACGCGTCTTATTAACCCACGGCGAGCCAATCACGCGATATAGAGGTAGCTGGATGGGTATGCGATCGCGAACGATGATATGAGGGGGTTGTTGAGGTTTATTCAAGGTTGAGCGAACCTCACGTGTCGCTTGTCAAAGGCTAGGTAAGTCGCTGGAAAAAAATGGACTCGCCTATATATCCCTATATTCTATTTTACGATACGTCGAGGAAACGAGATACGAAATCGAGTGATAGCGGGCCGATAGCCGTGCTAGTAATATCCTCGACTCTGCCTTGTGCGTTCGTTCGGTTTAAAATAGCATAGTACGCTCGCGAATAGCGGAGAAATATCTTCGTCTTATCGAGCGGCTAACGCGATAATTATAATCGCGGAATTAATTAATCAGCGTATAGGGTTGTTTGCACTCGACGGGGAGGGATGGGACGTATCGTATTGTATCGTACGTTTCGTGTTCGATGTAGACGCGAGACCTTTCGACGAATCTCCGATGGAAGATCGAGAGGGCTGAATCGGAGGCGAAAATATGCCCGGGCGATCACCAGCGAGGGCGTACGAGCGGCCCATTGCGAGCGCGGGCCGCAAGCTCGCCGCTACTTGAATGTCACCGCCGGAGGTGAGATTATTACGATAAAATGTTGTAAGGTATTTTGGGATCAATTTCCTGTGACAGTTTATTTGCCTATCGCGCGAATTCCGTATCGATGAAGCTTTGCAAAGTTGCTACAAGTGTAGAGATTATACTTGCGTACAATTAATTAGTCCGCATATAGGATTTCGTTTTTTATTTCCGAGAGGGTTAACGCAATAACGTTTCACGCGTTTTTTCCACACGTGGATGATTTTTCTTTATTTTTTTATTACCGTCTGCATATTCCACCGTGTTTAATAATTTTGATATAAATATAAAATATTTATTTATTTATTTATTTATAATATTCTTATATTTATTTATAATATTCTTCTTTAAATCTATCGACTTTTTTAAACCTCGTGTTATGTCTTCTTTTAATAGAATATGTACTTAGAAAGCATTTATTTATTATTCACATCTATATATTCAATTATTTTGCTTATTACAAAAAAAAAAATAAATAATAGATTAGTTAATGTTTTTGACGATATATTTATTTTTGCACGAGGTATAAAAGAGAGAGTTGATTAAAATCTTATCAAATTACCTTACCTATTCTCGTGGTAAATTTTACTTTCGAATAAATCAAACATCTCGGAGCTTTCGTTTCGTTACAAGAACAAATGACCAGGGCGCGGGATGGGCGAATCCTGGCTCTCGGTCTTACTCGCTGCCACGCTGACAACGATGATGATGACAGCGATGACGAAAGCCGATCCATTTTCAACGCCGTCGACGATCACTCGTGACGATTTTGTCGATTCCAAACTGGTTTGTCTTCATCAATCCTTATTTTATACGACTTTGGTGATTTTCCGAATTTTTTATTGATATCGTATATCGTTTTTTTTTCCTTATTATCACGAAGTCGCCCATCGAGGAAGCGCTGGACGTGATAGAGGCGGCATCAACGGGTTCTCTGGGAGAGGTGTGCGTCAATTCAGCGGGATTTAAATCACTACCAGCTGGTGTCGCTCTGGATTCGAGACGTTATGACACGGCGCGTCAGAAGACTGACTTGACCGCGATGATGCTCCAAAATCTCGGGGCTGTTGAGGCGATGCGACGTAACGGTGAGTTAGAGCCGTCGTGTATAAAAAAAGATAGTCCTGGATAAGAGGAAAAAATGTTTGCATTCTCAGATAAAATATTTGACATGTACATATAATTAATATTCATCTAACGGCGATTATAGCTAAATGTTAAAAAAGATGTTATCTCATACTTAACTATTTATCGGTATCGGTAAAGCGTTATATCCAGCAAAGTAAAATAATCTTTAATTGTTAAAGAGATAAGAAAAGATGAGAAATCTAGCATTATCGGGCATTAGTGCCCGATTCACAATCTATAGTTTTCTACCTGGCACTCAATTGGCATCTATGGCACCTGTTGCGCGTGTAGCGAGAGCAACGCGCGCACCAAAAGTCAATCGTTGAACACGGTGGCGAGTACGTATGGCCAATAACGGATTCACGCAGCTCTTTTAGATGCCCTGACGAAGTCTCTGCTCGTGTCGGTGGACGACGCGTTGGAGGCGAGGGTGATAGCGCTAAACGCCTCTACCGGTACGGTGATTACCGCGGTATGGCTGAAGCGTAGCCCTGGAAGCGTAGGCGAGCCCTCCAAGGTTGAGAATCACGCGCTCCAACCCGGATCACAGCCGGACTCCAATTTACCGTGGTTCGAGAATGCAGGCAGCAGTGCTGGATTAAGGTTCGCCGCGTCGTCTATATTCGTCTACAAAAGCCAAATTTTTCGAAAATCTTTAATCTTTCTGTCAAGCAGTATTGCACGATAGTCCGATATTGGTGATATAATCGAAAAGATAGTTCTAGATAAAAAGATAAAATGAAGAATCGGAAATGTTCTTTAGTCCAAAAGATCAAAAAGATTAGCGTTATAATATTTTTTATCTTTTAGAAAGCTTTTGATAACGTTACTTTATTTAACATATCTTAACATAGTGGCTATCAAAGAATATAGAAATTTACTCAACATTTTATTCAACATTTCAAAAAAATAGAAATTAATTAAAGCTGCCAAATTAAAGTTGTTTGTAAGGTATCAACATTATTTTAATTTTTTTAAATATAGTAATATATTTTTACTTATACATATATTCTCTGATAACCGCTACTGAGTCGAATTCATAAATTTATGGTACAACGTTATATAGCAAATACAAAGAAAAAAAATATCTAACCTTTAATTTTTCTCGATTCTGAAAAATTTCTTTTTATAAAAAAATTTATTCCATCTTTTTTATATTTTTTTTTTCGCATAGAATCATTTCCTTTTTAAATCCCTAATAACGGACCGCGCTATATTTATTTAAAGAAATGTTAGTACGCACGCAAGGCACGCACGCACGCACACGCACCTTTACGCAGCTCTGTTTCGCACCTCTGTTTCGTCGTTCATGTTTCACACGTTGCCTTTCTCTTCTCTAGTAAGGTCTCGTTTATCGGAGTAAATTGTAGAAATGAAAAGTCTCTATGAAAAAAAAATCAATTTTACTCAAAATTCAAAACAAGAATTATGCGAATAATTGTATATAATTAATGCTGTATATATTTTTTTAAATTTCAAAAATATAAGAAAAGTTGAATAAATATCTTAGAAGAGAATTCTTTATAGTAATTAACATAAATAAATAAATTTACTTACATCTTTTCTTTGAAAAATATCCAGATATTAATGGTGGACAGATCCATATATTCGAGACGATTCGCCGAAAGAGAATCGCGCGCGCTGGACTTGTACAGGCGCTCCACGATCATTCATCATCCTTCATCATCCCGTACGAGCGTCAAGTCATAGAAACTCGATATTCGCGAACGATATGTAAACGATGAATTTTCTAAGACCTTAGCCTTCGTATCATAACGATCAATGGCAAATAACAATAATTGGGATGACCGTGAAGTGCTGGGCATATGACTCGTTGCACGAAACACACGTGTTCATCAAGAGATATCGAAGTTTCTACGGCGGCTTGTGGCGTTTGCGTGTGATCCCAGGTCACCGAAATTCATGCAGTCACCGCCGATTGAATCCTACAGGGGTTGGTGGACTATCCCGTACTTTTCTTGCAAGACTCGCCGCTGGCTCATCTCGTACAGCGTCAACGTACAATCGCCGGATGTTCGTCCCAGGTTAATATAACAGCTCGCTTGGTGATTTTAACTGACGCTCGTAATAATAATCTAATTGTTGTAATTGGCATTTTCATTGAAGGGTACGAGAATTCATCAGTATAGATATTGATATAAGCGGGCTGGAGGTCAACCAATGCTCAACTGCATCGCCGCAAAATCGCAATGACGAGCTCGATCATTTCTCCAGTAATCAAATAGCCTTCTTCAAGGACACACATAAGTGTCATACCGACACTACGCAGGTAAATGTCATTTTTTTTTGCGATTATTGTGTAGAAAAGTAAATAATATTTTTTCATTTTTTGTGTGCTTCAGTGCGTGTATCAGGGTCCTGATAGCCGAGTGAACGAAAATGGCGTGGGCGCTGGTTGGACGAAAGGCGCGTACATGTGTAAATGTCGGCAAGGTTTTTACAGCCTCAGTCATCATCGGGCGGGTTTCGACGGGAGTCTCGTGGAAGGTCAGGATTAGTTGTTACTTGTTTATGTGTTGTAATCTTTTCCCTTTCTCTCCGCACGTATTTGTTACAGCCGCGTGGAAGGAAATGAGGGAGAACAAGAGTGACTTCTACGAGAGGACATTTCGATGTCTGCGCTGTGCACCAGGATGCGCCAGATGCAAGGGCCCCGAGCCTTGCCTAGCAACGTACAATTGGCCCTTTAGGTATTTTTTTATGCTGCGCTTTATTTTGTCGCTTGACACCGTTATTTCAATCGTGTCTTATCACTTTTCAAGAATCACGCTGTTAGCTGTTTCAATTTTTTGCGCGTTTGGCACCATCGTCCTGGTAGCGTACATGTATCAGCATCGTAAACTGAAAGTATTCAAGGTTGCTTCGCCGATATTCCTATCCATCACGCTCTTGGGCTGCGCCTTGATGTATCTCGAGGTAGGTGCGGAGAAACGCTCCTCGCTTTCCCTTTTAATAAAAATTCCGTCGAGTATTAATTTAAAACGAGATCTTCGTAGATGGCCGCCATATTCCCTGTTCTCGATATGTATTCGTGCATCGCCACAAAGTGGACGAGGCATATGGGATTCTGCATCTCGTATACGGCGCTGTTAATGAAAACCTGGCGGTAAATAATTATGATTAGCGTTATCACATAGTTGAAGCACTGAGAATACAAACGAACCGAGTCACACGATATTTTGGAAAAGAACTAGATAAAGCTATTACGTTATAATCGAAAAAGTATGTACGAATGTAAATGAAGCGATTATCGATTCGAAGTGTAACATAATGATTTTTTTTTTTCAAGAAGCTTGATTGCTATATAGCGAGTACTGCTCTTCAACAAATTTATCGCAATTGTGGGCTTGGTCTGCTCGTATCTTCAGCACTTCAATTTTATATAAATTCGCAATAGCAACATTTATATCTCACACTTTTATCTATAGGGTTTCGCTCACGTATCGGGTGAAAAGTGCTCATAAAGTTAAACTTACGGACAAGCAGCTGTTGCAATGGATGGTGCCTATACTACTAGTGATGTTGATTTTTCTTGGAACGTGGACTGTCAGCTCGCCGCCTTACGCGGAAGTAATCACGGATAATCACGACTTAAAGTTTTACCAGTGTTCGTATAACTGGTGGGATCATAGCCTGGCTATCGGTAAATATAAAAAAGAAAAAAAGAAAAAAAGAAAAACAGAGACGTAAGATATGATGGATTAATTTGAATTTAATTGGCAATCTGTTAATAACATGAACAGGTGAAATTCTCTTTCTCGCCTGGGGCATAAAAGTATGTTACAACGTGCGAAACGCGGAGAGTCTATTTAACGAGGCCCGTTTGATAAGTTACGCCATTTATAATATAGCCGCGGTGAACATAACCATGATAGCCATTCAGTACGTAATCATAATATAATATATCTATATTATATACAAACCTGAGTTCCTGGAAAATATATGTCGAACGACGTTTATCTGCAGCCTCTTCATATTTCCTCGTGCCGGGCCGGATATCAAATATCTGCTTGGCTTCCTGCGGACTCAACTTTCAACGTCTGTTACGGTCTTTCTTGTATTCGGTCCTAAAGTAAGACAATTATGACGAAAGGATGAGATTAATAATTGCAGCGATAAAATGGATATTGAAAAGATCTGTTTGTGAATCGATTATTTAAGCCGTATTTATACTATTGTCAAACGACATAATTTTATAATAGTTTTCATATCTCCCGATATGCTCGAATCGATTTTTTCAATATCTATTCTGTTCTTTTTAATTATATAACGATACATACAGCATTAGTATTATATTTTTAATTGTTATTTAAGGTGATCAGAGTATTGCGTGGCCAGGGAGATCAGTGGGATAGTCGAGCGAGAGCGCGAGGCGTCACCGCGAGCTTCTCTCTGAACGGGATCGGCTTGGTGCCGGAGGAGACGACGGATTTATACCAAGAAAATGAAGAGCTTAAGGTTTATAATTATATAATTCAGCATTTTTATATCTGCGCTACGATGCCAGCGAATAGAAATATTGAAGCAATTTTTCGTTTTATCTTAAATTCTATACTTAGGAGGAAATCCAAAAATTGGCCGCGAGAATCGAATTTATGAAGATAGTGCACATGGAGGTGCACAACAGGCACATCAAGCCAAAGATGGGCGGTTACTTTAGCACGCATGGTCACGGTCACGGACACCCATCCGCCGGTCAGAGTCCCATCGTCAAGAGTTCGACGGCCAGTTTTATTCTCAAAGTATGTACCTAAATCGTTCTATCACATTTCAATTCGATTAACCCTAGCATACGTAGCATTTTTAAAGTCCGACGACGTAAAAATGAAGTAAAAGCTTCCGTCATCTTTTCTCTGAAATCTGATTCGATTTTTCTTTGTGAATCTTTCGGACATTGCGTGAATGCACGATCGCGTATGCTAAGGTTAACGCGAAAGTTTCTAACTTTCGCATCGACTCGTCTTCTCTCGAGTCTGATGCAAGAGCGTTTTGGGAAATAAATTGGAGTAATTTATTGAGCAGACGGCCGTGGAGCGAGGTGCAACGGCAGCCGCAGCCGCGGCCGTCGAGGATTCGACCTTCCCGTCCGGAAGTCTACACAGAGCGCGAAGGATGGAAATGTTGAGGGAAAGGAAAGCGGAAAGGGAGAGGGAGCGCGAGAAAGAGCGAAACAAGGACAAGGAGCAAAAGGAGAAATCGCAGCAGGAGAAACCGCGAGAATCGAGTGGCGAGAAGGTTTGACTAGTGATCAATAGCGAGGAGGTAAATAACTCTGCTCTTACTTAATCTTGGCGCTTTTTTAATGATCCGCCTATGACCTTTTTTCTTTTATCATGATTTTTTTCGCCAACAGGTATGGTTGTGACGAAGACAGTGTTCCGACGAAAGCGAGAAAACGAGAAAAATCTTATATCCGCGGAAGAAAAGGAGGAAGAAGAAATTGGAAAAATTCAGGTTGTATCCTCTAATGGACAGGAGACTGCCCGTATTTGTATAAAAAGCCATATAATCAAAACCATCGCGTTCACTGTCTTCGCGCCATTATAATAGTGATATCTTGGTAATTACTAGAGAGTGATGTACGATATATATCTCTTAAAATTATAAAATCTCTATCGAATCGAGAACGCACGAAGAGCGAAAGACGACGACGATGGCATTCCATGTTCCTATCCGTCTTGCAGCAGCGACAACGTCGTTGCCTTCAAGGACATGGCGTATTGTTATTATATATTAAATTTCAATATTTTCTTTCCGATATAAAAAGCATTCTCGAATGCAAAGGACGCCATCAATGCAGCGCGATTAACTGTAAAACAAATTGTGTTTCTAAAAAACGGATGTGTTTCGTTGAGAAATTAGACGGAGCAAAGGAAAGAAAACTGTAATACCGAGCTGTCACAAATGCACAAAGAATGCACAGGCGAATCGTCGTCGCTTCAACGATACAATTCCGCTTTCCGCAAGTGTAATGTGTCGCTTCGTTGCGAGCATTCGATAGAATTGTAAAAAACGCGCGTGTGTTCTTAAGTTACTCTTATTGAAATCGTTTACGTCCGTTTGCGATGACGCGCGTGCTTTTGTCAAACACAGAATCGCAGAGATCTTTCTCGATATTAAGAACAAAAGTGGGGACGACAAAGGAATCCCTTCTTAAATGTTACATAAGCGTCATGTTCTCGGGTTTTAAATACGTTTCTCAGGCAATTTTATCATGCCAGAGTGAAACATCATCTATTCTTGAAAGATATACAAATATCACAATTTGAATGTAAATGTTAATTTTTAAGCAGTAATAATATACATATAATACGAGTAAAATAGGCGCGTACTTTTCCGAATTGGACATTTGATAGGCTTGACCAATAAGTGTCATTGAATGTATGGAATTTCTTTATTTAATTTTATCTCCGAATCATATTCGATGCAATATGTAATTCTTCTTCGTGCTCTTTGTTGTTCTCTCATTTATATTACTTTTTATTTAATTTGAAACATATTTTGTTTATAGTTTTCATAGAGATTTCAAATGTAGAGTTACATTTAAAATTGCAAACAACCGAGCGATAATTATTCGTAACAAGATTGTATAAATGTTAACATAAATGTGACAATAAAGTTACACAAGGGCTGTAAAAGAATATCAACTTTGTTGACGATCGTAAAGTTGCTCGCGTCTGTGGCCCGTAAGGAAAAAAAAGAGATAAATCAAAACGAGAAGAAAGCTAAAAAGAGAAGTAGAGATATAAAAAATTGTGCGATTAATAAGATCTTTGCCTTGTTGGTTTACACTTTTTTAAGAGCTTACGTTTTCACGATAGAATGCTGTTATTATAGATCGCGTACAGTTATGTGTTAACAACGACCGGACAGATATTGCTGTTCGTGTCTAAGATATTTATCGTTAGTAATATCGTTGTTGTTGAATATATGACTGGATGGAATGGAGATGAGTGATGCAAATATGTGTGTTACAAGTACAACATAGATATATTCGATTGATGAAGAATTTATCGAACATAGTAAGCCCTGCGAGACTTACATTGTGAGATCGTATGGATCGATTTACTTTAATTTTTTTTAAGATATCACATTGCAATATCCCTATCTTGAACGACTCTCCAATCTGTTCGTTCTGCTACGATAATTATGTTTAATTAACGATTAACTTTGAACATCGATAATCGTTTCCGTTTTATCGGAATAATTTTCAAATAGTGAATATAAATATTCGCGACATAGATATAATTTTTAATAAGCACAAATTTTTCGCACTCTTGCGTTTATCTAAATACATTAAGGACATACGAAAGTATCGATTCGTCGAGCAGATTGTCAATTGGTAAATAAGCACGGTGAGTCAATTTCGAGGATCGTCACGAATCGAATCTGTCGCGCGGAAGCCTGATCTCGGATCCCAGGCCGTAAATCGGTGATTCGTTAGAAAAAAAGCGAGAAAGAGAGATAGCGCGTTTCGCGTATAAATAATATACATATGTATATCCATTATTTGTTTAAGGGAATTATAGCGTAATGGACAGAAAGATTTTCACACATATTTACGTTTCTCCGATTAAGTACAAACGACAACGCGATAACGATCCCGTTGCGTTGCCTTATGTGCGCTCGATGTAAATCGTAAAATGCGCTATATAGCTTGTGGCGCGCGCGATAGTTCGTGATAATAGATCGTAAGAGATGAATCTGCTTTCAGTGTTGCGTATCGTACGTTTGAAAAATCCGCTTCGTTTACAAGAGAAAGGGAAA